TTCACAGTGTGTGTTTTGTGACAGTTGTATATATTTTTTGCCCATCGCTGTTGTTGGTCGAGTAAGTTTTATGTCCTAGAACCAGATTTCTACCTGTGTGTTTGTGTTGCTAAGTTGGGGACAGCTACTGGATTATGGTACTGTACTATACTGTTTTATAACCACACATCAGGGCACAGCCACTGTACAGTCAGCAATGCTTAGGGTAGAATATTCAAGTTTCTAATTTAAGTTACTGATAAAAGAAAAATCGTCACCCTCATATTGGCTTCATAAAGGAGACACATAGTACATACTGTATGTTGGTGCTGCCCAGGAGAGGTGAGTGTGACTGTGTGATCTGATGCACTCATGTTCAACATCAGCTGAGTTCCCAGATGGTGTCCTGAGGACCACCACTTCTGATCCCATCACACAGCTGCACACACTGTCTGCTCTGGCATTATGAACAGTTAAATGTTTCTTGTGATTTAGGGCACTTACTTTACAAATGACATTTACTGCTGCCATGCAACCCCAGGTGTTAGTTTTATACTGTATGTTTGTATTGTGTTGCAAGAACATTTAATTAGCTTAACAACCTAATTGTCAATTAGTGAGTGAGTTGATAAACAAGACTAACAGTCCCAACTGTGTGGTCGTTTGCTGTACTTTCCTAGTGTGTTGATCATCTTGTATAAAACAAAGAGAATGTTTTATATCCCAGGGAGGGAGTTGCCCTACATGTGGGAAGTTGACACAGTGTATCCAGTCTTGGGAATTGTCACATCCACTTGTAATTTGGCCTTTATAGATTTTGTGTGTGCTACTCTGTTTTGGGGGATATGTCTGCCAGCTGTTCATCAGGAAGAATTAGGTTTATGCTGTAAGGGCTAATCCTATTTCCCTTTAACCTAATGTACCAGTACCTTACTCCCGTGTGCAGCGGTGGGCCTCCAGGGGTCAGTACACCAGTTTATTTTCATCACATTCAGCTTTGTCCAAATCTTATTCCACTGTGTGTCTGACTGAGGGACAATGAGAGGGGATGAAATCTTGTGTCCTCAGTACAGTACTCGTATTCCCTTGTGTCTGGGCTCCCCTCTGTCCTGAATATAATTGTCTGAAGTTAACCGAACAAAAATGTTAAAAGTGGCGTCCCCATAGTGATAGGGTTAAGTGACAGGCATGGGTCATTGTGGGACCCTATCATGGTTTGAATCGCCTGTGAAGTAGAGTTGTTTGTGCACCAACGCTCCGTTTTATTGGTCTGGGTTTGACCCCAGGGTACCCCGAGAGCTGCCTATGATAACCCCAGTCAAAACGAAGTAAATAATGCCAAACCCCATAGGTCCTTGCTTCTGACTCTTATAAGGACATAGGGATCCACCATGACAGTTTATAGTTCAGCTTAATAAGAAAAAATCAGTGTTAATCAGATTGAAGCATGGAGCCAGCTGGGCCTCTATACCTAATATCACGGCTAGTTGGGATCCCTTCATGGCATGACTAAAGCTGATGAGTATTGGCTTAACTGTTCTGTTGCTGGTCTTGAGAACTGTGTGATCAAAGGGGCATTGTGACATCTCTTCCTTCCTGCTTGTTGTATTGGCACTTGTAGCACTGGAACCTCCTGTCACCTGTGGCCACCTGAGATACATTGTTTGAATGAGGAATCAGTCTCTTAAGGGAGGAATTAAGCCTGTAATACCAGAGCCTGTATAATGGATCTCTGGCTCCCTCCCTCCCTCATGTGTGCTGCTGAGGTGAACTGGAACCAAGGGGTCACCCGGTCAACCCACAGAATGACCAGACTGACACCTTATAGCCAAGTGTTGAGGAGACCACAGGTGAGTGAAGTGGTGTTGAAGATTCCCGGCTTTAAGTGTCAATTACTGACCTTCATTTGCCAAACTTTTTATTCGTAGGTTTGGTTACTGTGGTGAATAGACATTTGGACCGTGGTTAGGTCAGTTTTGTTGAAATACTTCCTCTCAGCCTCGGTTCTCGACGCACACTTGCCTGGTTATGCTGTACAGGTACTCGTGTTGCTCAGTCCAGGTGAGGCCCTGCAGCTGTAAACCAGAATTTCAGGGTCATCTATATTCAGGGGTTTTATTTTTTGTTGAACTATAAAATTAATCTTGTATTTTAGTTTTGTTGTTGTTTCTTGTACAGTATCAGTGACGGATGCAAGACTTCTTTAGTTCATTTAAACGTCATGTTCTGGATTTATTATTATTTTTTTCATGACATTGGTATACAGTAAAACCTCCATTTAATGGATGCCAATCTGATGGGTATAGTCCAGTATTTGGAGGTTTCTTATACAGTATACTGTAATGGATTACACTCACCTATACGTAGGGATCTCACTGAAAACTTTGTTGTAACGAGTCTTGTGGTGTGAGTTGTGTTTCCATAGACATTAGGTTGTATGTGTATGTTGCCTTGATATAGTGTATACAGTATTTAGAGCACTTATGACTGCATGTCTGTGTATTTAAAAGGCAATACAATTTCATTTTTAGGGTTGTATTTTGAGTGTCTGAACAGTACAGTGCCAGTACATCTCTACAAAGTTAACAAATGAAAGCCAGATTGAACTTTGCCATGACCAGGTTTATGTCAGGATGAGCTTTAAGGTGTGTACACTAAATACTGTTTTCGTTAATTCAGTTTTATTTGTACAGTAATGCGTGTGAGAATGACATCAGAAATTCAGGTTACGGGTGATGGTCACTTGAATTATTTGAATATTGCTGTAATACTGTATCTTGAGTTCCTGAAATACCAATACAGCACAGTAGGGTAGTTAAAAGAAGCAGGATCATTAACACTTCATGCACAGCGATGATCATACAATAATTACTGCAATATAGTGTCATATGCACCTGTGGTAATATTGAAAGTCAGTATATCGGAGTTAATTCACCCGTTGAGTGTCATAATATCATAATCTGAAGTAATGTTGAAAATTATTATACAAGTTTAATTTGGAGCTTTGTGTTAGAGGCTTGCAGTATTACATCGAAGAGCCAATGAGTTTCTGAAATGAGTGCTGAGAATTGAGCTGAGGGGCGGGAGATGGTGGTACAGTATTGTGTGTGATGTTTGTAAGGAAAGTGTTGACAAGGGCTAAAAAATGAACAATCTTGGGATCACCGGAAGAATAGCCACCCCTATTTATTTCAGCTGATGATTGATTTAACACCCTAATGCTACCTGGGGCAGTTAGGTTTAAGTTAGGATGATTAAGTTAAGTTAAAGTTTGAATGGTTGGTTAATGTTAAAATGTAGTAAGCTGGAGGGGGTGGCTAATCTTCAAGTGACCATAAAACTGTAGCTAATGGTAACGTGAATGTGATTGCTGTACAGTTGAGGTTAGACCAGTTAGTGATGCTTTGTTAGATAATACAGTACAGGTGATTATCAGTGGTGAGTTCTGGATAAGATAGGTACCAGTATGGCTCGGTCTTTACCCAGTAAGATTATCTTATCTTCTACTGTACTATACGAGCTTTTGCAATGTGTACTGGCCACTTGTAATCAGATCCTGTGATTGTGAAATTTTTTTCTGGTGTTTCTCCTTTGTTCCCCCCACCCCCATTGATCTTGTAAGGTGAAACACGTCTCCCATGACAAGAGATGTTAAAAGATGCGCTCACTCCTCTGTCGTTCGTGTCCTCAGCTCATCTCTGGGTAAAAATTGTTCTGGCACATTTCGTATATATTTTTTTTTCCAACTATTTTGGGTCACATGAAGATTAGCTCCCTGGGTTATTTCACCTGTTGATTAAACATCCTAATGCTATATGTACGGTACAGAATGACAAAAAGTTTCTGCCAGGATGGGTCCGATGACTTCTGAAATGCTACATGCAACTCGTGATGTCCCGGGAGGGTTGGTATGCCTGGCTCTGTGGCAGACGGGTCCTACTGCATTTGGTAACCGAACATCATATTAATTACGTCGAAATGAATACACATTTTATTACTATGTTAAACTATATCCCAAAGTAAATGCATTTCTCAAATATCTATTGTCTGTGGTCTCATAATGTTTCATACAGTGTGGACAAATACTTTTTTGATATATGCACCGTATCTGGGACGGTTAGGTTAGTGTGGGGTTACTGACTGGTAGGTTAGTGTTAGTGGTGGTACTGATGGTGGTAGTACTGATGGTGGTAGTAGTGGTAGCTGTACTTTATTCTGGTCAGGGTAGTGTGTGTGGGTCATAGTAAGAGCTGTAGCTAATACTGTATTTTGGTCAGTAGTGTTGGGAATGTGTGTAAGGAATATGTATACAGTACAGTACAGTACAATAGTTTGATATGACTGAAAAAAAAACTCATTGTTCATTTCTTGCGATAAAATAATCCAGACACTAGGAGAGATGTTGGTCTATTTTATTTATCTTATTTTCCTCCCCAAATTTTCTTGTATGTACGGTGATGCAGCTTGACCGATCGAGTGTTTATCTAATGACAACGGGTAACGGAGCAAGTTTCTGAAATGTTTGATGATGATGTCTTAACTCTTAGGATTACCTGAAGATAAACCTCCCTCTTGTATTATTTCACCTGAAGATTAACCACCCAAATGTTACCTTACCTTTGGCTACTTTACCAAACCTTAACTTACCTAACCTAACCTTTTAAGAATTTATATATCACTTACTCCCTTATCAATGAGTCTTTTGTACTTTATTTATTAGTAGTTTTCTTCATTTTTAAAACTTATGCAAATTTGTTTTCCATCTACAGTACAGTACAGGTATAAGGAATATATATTTCAACACAGTGTATTTTCTCATTAATAAGTCTGCACTGTTTTTTTTTCATCTCAAATTATAAATCAAATTTTTTTTTATTGTGTATTAATAATGTATTGTTCATCTTGCAGTATATTTCCTCATTAATAAGTCTGTATTTGTTTGTATTTCATGTCAAAACTTGTGTCTATTTCTCTTCGCGTATCTGAAGAATTTGTTTTGATCCCACGCTCCTCACCGACAGGTCAACGCTCGCTGTGAATGGGATGACATTCTCGAGGACTTTCGTCTACCAGCTGCCTGTGTCAACTCTGCCACGGCCCTCAAGCACATATACATAAGGTAGGTGTTTCCTCTCTGTGTGCTGGGTCAGGGGATGAGATAACTGCAATGCCTGATTACTCCTCAACACAACGCTTTCTTTTGCACACAAGATTTTTTTTTTTTTTTTGGAGAAGATTTTTTATTTTTTTTTGCGATTCATAGTATTTTTCCAATTTGGATTTATTTATTAATTTTTTGTAATCGAGAATTAACTTTTGATTAAGTGATTCATTGCATAGGTGATTCAACAGAAGGTATTTCTTTGGTGCATTTCATCCCCTGACACTGAGTGAGTACATTACTTTAATGGGTGAATAATGGGACTATACAGTGTGGTGAGCAGGTAAGTTGGGAGAGGAGAGGCTCGCTGGAGCTGTAAGGTTCAATGGTTCCTACGGTTGTTGTGGTGCTTGGGTGACAACTGATATTAATTTTTGGTTGGATTTTATCTACGATTTGTGCGCTTCATGTGTCACTTGTCTGTTACTGGCTTCTGGCATCAAGCATAACCACCTACTGTACTGTATAAGACTGTATCAACATTACTGAGCCGCCAACCTCAGCTGGGGGGAAGTGTGTGTTAATCTTCACCTGTTGACATATAAACATACAGACATGGGTGGTTTATTTTTATTGGTTATATTTAAGTATTTATTATTTATATTTTTGTTATTTTTTTTTGTGGGGTGGAGGGGCAATTACTTTTGGCATTTCTTGTGTGGTCTTTTGTTTCTCTGTTTGGGTGCCAAGAAGATACCATGTAAATAATAGATAAGTTGTACCGTCTGGAGAGTACACCCTCCCCACCCCAGCTTATTATACCTGGAGATTTACTGCTGTTTTAACCACTTCACTAAAGTGGATGCCAGTTTAAACTTTTTATTTTCTTCACGACAGACGGTTGTACTCGGCAGAGAGAGACGCCTGTACACAGTTGGTTAATAAACTGTCTCCACTTATGCTTACCTAATCTGTTCCTAATCCACCGTAACCTAACCTAATATAACTGAACCTAATGTACCACAACCCAACCCAACCCCTCAGGTAACATTAGGATGGTTAATCATCAGGTGAAATAAGCAACTGTGAGGTGAGGAGAATCTTCAGGTGATACGTTAATTTGTACCTCCAGCCCTGGAGAGTAGTGTGTACATATGGTGTGTATACTGAAGGTGAGTAGGTACCTGGTGTGTAATGTAGAGGCAGAATACAGCACAATTATGTGTGTGTGTGTGTGTGAGAGAGAGAGAGAGAGAGAGAGAGAGAGAGAATTTAATGCATGGCGAAAATTACATTACGTTACTTTCTAATTCGGTACGTGGTGAGAGGTGGAGAAGGTATATGATTCAGTACATTGGAGCAGTGGACAGGTAGAGAAGGTATATGATTCAGTACATTGGAGCAGTGGACAGGTAGAGAAGGTATATGATTCAGTACATTGGAGCAGTGGACAGGTAGAGAAGGTATATGATTCAGTACATTGGAGCAGTGGACAGGTAGAGAAGGTATATGATTCAGTTCATTGGAGCAGTGGACAGGTAGGAGAAGGGGTATGTAATTCAGTACATTGGAGCAGTGGACAGGTAGAGAAGGTATATGATTCCAGGTACATTGGAGCAGTGGACAGGTAGACACATTACATAATTCAGTAAACTAGAAGGCGTGGTTAAAGGTTTTATTGGGGGAAATGTGTACTATACTGTAGTTAAGAAAGGTGTGTGTGGGGACTGAGAAGAGGGGGGAGTGGTGTTGAGGTAATAAAGGAGAATAATAAGAAAAGGAATGAGAGGAGCTAAGAATTTAAAAGAACGACGGCAGGCAGAAGAACGTGAAGAAGGTGGTGACGTGTAGGAACATCTTGGTGAGTGTGAGAGAGGGAGTAGTTGTTGCTGAAGGATCTTGTAGTGAACGGAATTTGTTGATAAGCGGGCGGGAGTGTAGTCACGGCTGACTGGTTGTGCCACACACACACCACGGCCATCAGCTCACAGTGAGGTGCTGTGTAAGGTGTTGGTGGGGAGGTAAGGCGCGAGGCTGGAGAGAGCGGTAGTGGGGCGGGTTGTGGGTATGGTGTGGTCGTTGTGCCGTGTTGTTTGTAAACAGTATGTAGAGGTGCACGTGGTGGTGGGCAGCGCAAAACGTTTGTGTTGGGTGCGCGGGCCAGGCCAGGCCAGGTAGGGAGGTAGTGGGAGTGCAGACAGCGTGGCGACACACTGGGCCGGTCGCTCACACCGCCACCGGGCCACACGGCGGCCGCACACACTCACACACTTCCCGCATCGGGCGGCGGCAGCGGCGGCGAAGGTGGTGGTGCTGGTGCAGCACTGGTGACTGCGGCACCACTGCCACTACCACCACCAGCCTCTCGGACCATACCGTACGCACGCTGCCGCCCCGCGCGCTCCCCACACCTGTTGAGTCATACACCTACACTCCCCTCCCGCCCAACCTCCACCACATTCACATCTGAAGACCACGGCCTGGATATGCTCCTCCCTCCCTCCCGACCCAAGTACCCTCCAAGATGCCCCCTCACCCTCATCTCCTTGTCAGTCATCGTGTCGGAGATTTAAACGCCGTCATGTGGACATCATTATCGTTCACGTAGTTACTGGAGAAAAATATTCATTAAATTGAAACACTTGGTTCACACTATTCCAGATGATACTAAATGTTACATAATACTTCCTTGAGATAAGTGTACAATATATATTAGTTGCCTACAAGAGAGCTCTATCTCAACTGGCTCAGCCATATTAATATTGTTATTATTATCCACTCTGTATCTGTAGTTTTCTGGATAAATAAACTGTTTCAATCACTCAATCAATAGACAGTAACTTGGTGTATGTAGAGTGCGAAGTGGTGGTGTGGGTGTGCCTCGGTCAAATAACCCACGCCCCGCCCACCATGAGCCACCGTCAGGGTGGTGTCGTCACGACCTCAATAAGTGTTGCTGTGTTTCGCATCTTCTACCTGCCCTGGCCCCTCTCCTCCACCCGTGTAGCTCCTGTGTGTGGTCAGTCAAGGTCCTGCTACTACCAGGAGGGCTGGGTTGGCTGGGCCTCGCCTGGCTATAGTTTATGACGTGACCTTGGGCTACTAGTTTGGAGGCCGGGCGAGAGCGGGGGCGTCCTCATGGTAGTCAGGGAAGAAGGGTGAGGGTGGGGGCGTCCTCATGGTAGTCAGGGAAGAAGGGTGAGGGCGGGGGCGTCCTCATGGTAGTCAGGGGGAAGAAGGGTGAGGGCGGGGGCGTCCTCATGGTAGTCAGGGAGGAAGGGTGAGGGCGGGGCGTCCTCATGGTAGTCAGGGAAGAAGGGTGAGGGCGGGGCGTCCATGGTAGTCAGGGAAGAAGGGTGAGGGCGGGGGCGTCCTCATGGTAGTCAGGAGGAAGGGTGAGGGCGGGGGCGTCTCTCATGGTAGTCAGGGAAGAAGGGTGAGGGCGTCCTCATGGTAGTCAGGGGAAGAAGGGTGAGGGCGGGGGCGTCCTCATGGTAGTCAGGGAAGAAGGGTGAGGGCGTCCTCATGGTAGTCAGGGAAGAAGGGGTGAGGGCGGGGCGTCCTCATGGTAGTCAGGGAAGAAGGGCAGGCGTCCTCATGGTAGTCAGGGGAAGAAGGTGAGGGCGGGGGCGTCCTCATGGTAGTCAGGGAAGAAGGGTGAGGGCGTCCTCATGGTAGTCAGAAGAAGGGTGAGGGCGGGGGCGTCCTCATGGTAGTCAGGGAAGAAGGGTGAGGGCGGGGGCGTCCTCATGGTAGTCAGGGAAGAAGGGTGAGGGCGGGGGTGTCCCTGGTAGTCAGTGAATGAGGATAAAAGGAAGTGAGTCAGACATAGGGACAACAAGACCGACCTTCTACGCCATTTACCAGCGGTCAGTTGGAGTGACGTGATGGCCGCCACGAGGGTCAAGATAAACGCGAGTCAGATTCATAATGTTAAGTCCTTGTTTTACTGAGTGTGTGGGATAAAAAAACCGATTTGTCTATTAGGTAGTTTGGTAGTTAGTGTGGGTTTAATGAGGAGCTTGTCCTGGTATGATTTGATAATGTAAGGCATCGTATTAATTAAACTCTCATCCCTTCCACATGTTGATTATTGTCTCGGAAAATCGTGTAATCTAAATCTTATCTCTTGTGATAAAGTCCAACTCGCTAACTACTAACCCCGCGAGATGCCTGGGCTGGTAGTGAGTGGGATGGATGCTAAGTATAAACAGATCATTACCTAACTCAACCTAACCTCACCAGACCCTGATGATGACAGAGTATTTCTTGTGGATCACCTGAAGAAGATCCTCCTCCATATAGCTGCTTATTTCACCTGAACATTAACCACCCTAACGCTATTTTAGGTTAGGTTAGGTTGGCGTTAGGATGAAAGAAGAAATTATATAATGAAAAAAATGAAAGAAATGGATAAAATGAAAGAAAATTTTTTTTAATTGATTGACAAATTAAGGAATGAATGGAAAGAATTATAGAATGATAAAAAATGCATAAAATGAAATGAAATAAAAAAAAGATGATTGGTTTCCTCTTCGGTTTTGGTCGGGCATTTTTAAAGAGATTGTAAAACACACACACACACACCCGATTGTTCTGTTGTTTGTGGTTACTGTTACTGGCCTGGGTTACTGTTTCTTAACCTGTTACCGGCCTGGGTTACTACTAGGTTGTTTGGTCATGATCTGTTGAGGTAACGACTGTGCCCCTAAAGATAGAGGGGGGGGCAGGCAGCTCCTCGCCACACTCCCTGTACCTCAGTAGTGACCAGCCCTGCGAGAAGTAGTATGGCGCGCGGGACACTACCTGCCGCCGCCCCGTGTGTTAGGAAGCTTCTGAAGGAACTGAAGGCTATTATTGTACTGGTGGGCGAGGTATTGACGGTAACATGGTGACTCGTGGAGTGTTTTAGTAGTGTCGGGGCTGAGGAACGATGTTTGTGTTATAAGGTGAGGCTGGTGGTGGTGACCAGCAGTAGTGGGAGACGAGGCTGGGTGTCTGCTGCGAGGTCGTTGGCACGTGCATCCTGGTGGCGAGCAC